AAAAAGAGTGGGAGGGGAGGGAGGGAGGAAGAGAGAGAGAGAGAGAGAGAGAGAGAGAGAGAGAGAGAGAGAGAGAGAGAGAGAGAAACATCTAGGTGAGAGAGACACATTGCCTCTTGCACTAGGCTGGACCTGGGCCCTGGGGTTTGAACCTGCAACCCAGGTATGTGCCCTTGGCCAGGAATAGAACCTGTGACCTTTTGGTGTGTGAGCTGACACTCTAACCACACTGGCCAGGTCTGGATTTTTTGTTATGTAAGTAGTTGAGGTTAATACCTACATAATCATGAAGAGAGATACCTATTAGCATACTAAGCTTTCATCACTCTGAAAATCATATAGTAACACAAGTATGTAAGTACTCAATTCACTTTCAGAATAACATGGGATTCTGCTATTTGAATGATTTGAGAAGATTTCTGTAATATTTCTGTATGGATTTTCTCCTCCTCCTCTTCCTCCTAGTCCTTTTTGCCCATATCCATATTAAGAGGGATAAAATAAAGGATTTGGAGTGCCAAAGCAGGTCATTAAAAGAGATCACAAATTCTCTTCATCACTGTAAGTCTGAAACCCAAAAGGCCAGAGGGTAAATCCTAGGATAACAAGGAATCATCAAAATATTGTTCTTAATTGCAGTTGTGCTAGTGTCTTCCAATTTTAGGAGTAACTTGGTAGGTCAGATAGACATTTACCTATCTATACTAATAAAAGGATAATATGCTAATTTGGGCAGATGTCTTCCAGACGTCCATCCAGAAAAAGCCACAGCAGCTGTGAGGCCTGGGCTCATGGCAGCCATGGGCTCAGGCAGCTGCGAGGCCCGGGGCTCAGACCTCACAGCTGCCGTGGCTGGCAGTGGCAGCAGCAGCAGGGTGATGGGGGTGACGCCTTCCCCTGATCAGCCCGGTTGCCTCCCACAGAGACATCAGGAGGACATCCCCTGAGGTCTCCTGGACTGTGAGAGGGGGCAGGCCGGGCTGAGGGACCCCCTCTCCCCCAGTGAACAAATTTTCATGCACTGGGCCTCTAGTAATACTATAAAAACAGTTGGATCAATGTAAGTGTTTTTTATATTGGGAAGCACTAATAGGCTATAGGATGAAGACAGACATATACTCTTGGAACTTGATTTACTTCATTAGATTCTGAGTTTATAAATCTGAAGGCTGAAAATGATAAAAGGTAACTAACTCTTCTTGGAGAATAAGGCGTAATAAAAGCAGGGTAGTATAGAAAAGTTAAAAAGAAACAGAAAGGAGAAAAAAGGAAGGTGACCTAATGGGTATTTGAAGTGGGAACAAAAAAATAAATAAATAAGCAAGTTAATGCAGGTACAAAGGGAATATGAGATTTCTAAAAATTAGGGAATTTGGTTTCTTAGTTATCACTATTTCTACCTGTTTTCTTCTAATTTGCCTATAACTAGATTCTGTTTCCAAGTATTATTTTGTCCTGTGACTAAAATTAGAAATTTGGGTACACTCATCATTAGAACAAGAGGTTATCTTTCCCTGTGTCATTGCAAAATGCCATGATGGTCTGGCTAAGGGATTTTTTTTTTAATTGTTGACTCATTTTGACTTGGTCCAGCTGGCATGTTCTCTTTGAGGACATCATTGAAGGTAGAAATTTTAAACAAAGATGATTAGTAATTTTTAAATATGGGCATAATTATGATCTGAATCACTTTGTTTATTTTGAGCAAACAATTTTGTACATTCAATAGATAGTATATTGGGATATACCTTCTAGGACCTTCTCTGGACTATGTGAAAACGACAGCCACAGACAGAGGAATGGGGTGATGAAGTGCATGAATCATACCATATATCCTCTTTCTCTATGTCAATAAAAATGAAGGTCTTATTGCAAATTTCTGTTTCTCATTGAATGATTACATAGAAGTTTTTATAGCATGTCCTAGTATTGCTGGCTAGGGAGAGTGATAAACAGAAACAGTACTATAAGAAAGAATCAAACGACCTTTGACCCCAATTAAAATTCTTTCCATGTGCCTTTTCCTCGGCCGTCGTTCTCAGACAGGCAAACATTGCCAAGGCCAACTATCAGTCAACCTCCTCACTGTCCTCCTTGTCCCGGCCTTCGTCTCGAACTCATCATCCCACTTGCACTCCTTCCCTGCTGATTTTCCCTAGAAGCTTTCAAGAAGAGATCCTCATGACTAAACACCTGGGTTTCCTGGACTTAATGCCTTTTATGGTCTGGATGATTCCATTTGGTTCTGTTTTGGTCCAGAAAGTCTCCACTGCAGCCAGACTGGTTCTCTTTGTTGCCAGAATATCTTTTTAGCATATCTGCATTTTTCATCCAGGATGCCTCTCTCCTTCCTCCCTGCCTATCGGAATTTCACCTGGACTTTAAGGCCCTCCTCAAGGTACATGGGCTCCCTGAAGGCTTTGTGAATGGCCTCAGCCCCTGGGGACTCTTTTCGAGTCCTGGGCATATTGTGCAATTCTACTAACATTAATTGTTATAGTTTGAAAAGCCAGCTATCCCTGTATGTGTATATCTCTTACCCCCTACAACCTACTGTGCCCCTCTCTGGACCAAGTCTCATATATCTATTCTTGGTGGCACTTACATGAATGCCTTATATGAAGAATCAGTTAAAGTGTTTGTCATCTCATTGCTCAGACTTCCTTCTTTGTTCACTACTGACGTATTTTTCATTTTGTAATGGACGTATTCTGGTCCATTACCTCTTTCTACATTTGCCATGTTTTAAGTATCAAAAGAGCATACACCTATTACCAAATGTATATGAAATTACATTATGGTATGATTTTAAGAAATATTCAGAACATTAAACTATAATGTTTTAGCTTGTGTTTTCCTTATGGAAGGAAAATTACTGTGAGTTTTGTCAAGACCATACCTTTCTTCATTAATTTTGGCATATCTAAATAAACAAGTTCCTGAGCTATTTTAATTGAGCTAACTTTTGTCAAGACAGTTTTCATGTGTATATTCAATTTTTGAGTCAGAATTAGGCAAGTTTTATGATAAAAATTTTGCAATTAGAGTAGGTTCAAAAGAAATAGAAATCCCTTTGTGTGCTTTTTATTTTAATCCAACATGCTAACTTACTATAATTATTTAGTACACTTGAAGAAGATCAGAATTACAAGGAATTTAAAACTTTAAAGAGGTAAAATTTGAGGTATATATACATTTATCTCCATCCTATTTTATATGAGGGTATTATAGTATGAAATTCACATTTTGTAGTACATTCATTCTTTTTCAGTCGATCCACTATCAAGTGGGATTTTACTAGGATAAAAGTATTTAATTTTCTAACAATTATTTCAGGACTGTGCTTGATTAATCGTATACTCATCTGGTAACTTTGCAAACAGAAGGACATTTTAAGTTGAAAAGATCACAGTTAAATGACAAAAATTATTTGAAAAGAAATATTCTTCAAATTTCCTATATATTAAAATAGCATATTTGTTATTATTTTTCCCTAGACCATAATACTTTTCATCTGATAAAGAACAAAACTACAGGATAACTCTGAAAAATAAAGAACAAGTTAACTAAAAGACAAATAAAAGGAAATATATAAAACTTAAGACCAAATGGGCACATTTGATAAGGAAAAGAGAAATGGGTACTGGGCATTTTGTTCACTGTTTAATATCTTGCATTAACTTAATAATTTCTTGCTCTAAGAACAATGTTTAGTTGTTTTTTTCTAGAAACAGGGGATTAACACAACTCTTGTAATGTAGCATTTCTTCTAACAGCTTATCAGATTGTTCATTCATGTTATAAAAATTGATTTTCATTCTATATATTTTCAATTTTTAAAATTGAAAAAATATAACATTTTTCAACATACAGTATAAAGATATATTGAAAAAGTAAAATTTTTATCATAAAACTTTCTTAATTCTGGATGATTTGGGGGTGTTGTTTTGTTAATCCTCATCTGAGGATATTTTTTCCATCGCTTTTTTTAAGAGTGAGTGGAAGGGAAGGAGGGAGGAGAGAGAGAGAAAGAAACATCAATGTGAGAGAAACAAATTGATTGGTTGTCTCCTACACTCGCCCCAACCAGGGCCTGGATTGAAACTACAAAGCAGGTACCTGCCCTTGGCTGGGAGTTGAACTCACAACCCCTTGGTCTATGTGTGGACCAACACTCTAACCACTTAGCACACTGGCCAGGGCACAGATGATTTCTAATATGTTTTTCTCACTTTACTTTCAGACCAAGTCTATTTGATCCTTTTTCATAACAGAATAAATTACTTGCCAACACATTTTAATTCTTTCTCTGATAGGTGGAAAGCTAAGTAGTTTTTTTAAAAAATGTCTGTTTAAAAATTCTTTAAAAACTCTTAAGTAGAGTTTTGCTTACTCAGCACACTTCCTTTGGAATGGTAGCAGCAGTGACAGGGCTTACTTCCAACCTCAGGGCACCTTGAGTGATTTGGTGTGAATTGGAAGTGTCTGTCATTCTACTACTTTTTCTCTAAATAAGTCAACCATTCAAAAGAAAACAATTCTTCTGCTGTGTAATTAATTTTTTCTGTGTATTCGGATTATAATATTTCATTTAACAGTCTAACTCCACAACTATAATTAGTGTGTTGTTTTACTTTGACTTCAGTTCACAAACCTTTTGAAAAATTAACATTGCTAGATTTATCAGTCAACCAGAGTACAGAATCTTGATACAGAATGACACCGATCAAGGTAGAACTTTTAGTAAATGGGTATTTTGTTGAATAAAAGCCAAAAATCCTAAAAGCAAATAGAAATTGGTGTAACTGATGTTTAATCCAAATGAAAAACAGTAAACTGATTTAGCTTTTCTTTTTTTTTTTAAAGAACTGACGCAAGTTGGACAGAGGGAGGTGTTGGGGCAAGGTGGTGGTGGTGATTGGCTTGTCTCCTTTACGCCCTCTGGTCTTTAAATCATTGTCTAGATGCCCAAAGGTTCATATAAGTCAACTCTGTTTCAGGGTTCTGCATTCCAAACAATTCTGGAAAGACTGCCCAGGACTGGATGAATAATTAAGGTAAAGCTGTTTTTACATGAATATACGCAGTGTTGAAATAATGCTGCCTTTCTTCTTTTTATAGTGTTTATTGTTTACTACAAACTTAAAAGTTTAGAAATACTATTTGGGTCGCTTTTTTCTCAATATGAAAAAAAGGACCAGTTTAATATAATGTCAGACATTGGAATAATTTACTCGGATTCTGATTGCAGTTTTCTTTCGCAGATAATTTTAGGTTTGAGCATAAAATCAGGACAGTGGATACTAGGAAAGGAAAACAGCCCAAACCCAGCGGTAGAAAGGCTTAGCTATTTACATATTTTGGTTAATCACTGAATAAAGTGAAGGGTTAACATAATTTGTTTTAGGAAAAATATAAAGTTTTAAAAATATGTTCTCAATTTATAACATTGAAGATTTTATCTTGAAAAACAAAAAGAGTAACCGAGAAGGAACATCACATGCAGCAGATGGGAAAGGCTAAAGGTTTGGGCTGTGTCACTGTTAAGTGTCAAAGAGAGAGTGTGTCTCACCTTGTCTTCTTGTGTGACCATTTTAATATAGTATTTTTAGAGCTATTTACTGGAGGAAATGGATAAATTGAATAGAATAGAAGCACAGCTTTAGATTGTGAAGGACTGAAATTAATTATCTAAAAATAGAGCTATACTCACATTTATTAATTAGACAGGGGGAGAATTCTTAGGGGATGTGGGTATCCTTGCATTTGGGGCATCTTGCAATGGGTATCCTTGCATTTGGAGCATATGGTGATGGTTTTTATTAAATGCCCAGGTGATAAGATGAACAGTGCTTTATAAGTTAGTGAAAATTTAATTTGACTGATGACATAGATCATATTCATGGACAGTTGGTTGAGAGTTTTATTTTTGACAAACTAAAGAAATTTAGGTGTGTGTTCTAGAAAAAATTGGCATTTATTTTACAGGTCAACCTCTTCTAGTCATTCAGATTTATATTTCAATAATGTTTTGGTTTTTTTCTTGACAGTCTTTCTATTTATATTTTTAAGAAGTATAAACACTTCAATGTTTAAGTACTGAGACATGTAGTATTGGGGCTAAACCCTTGAGTTTTCTTTAACCATGTTATTTAATTTATTTTCATAAAGAAAAAGTACCTCTAGGGGTGGCTCACTGTCAATTATATACAATGTACACATTTTGGAATTTACTGTACCCACAATTCATTATAAGTTATTAAATATCATGCATTAGCATGTATAGCATAAAGAGGTCACTATGTTAATATCATATATGCTACATATCCCTGTACATTTACGGAAACTACTGTTTGGGGTAATAGGAACTACAGTTAAGCAGGAATTTAAGATGTTTCTTCATGTTTAAGATGACGAGAGAATCCATGTTTCTGAAGAGCAGAGCTAGAAAGTTCGTAAGCAAACTAACATACTCAGATTTTATGAAGAGTCCTTTATACCTCTTCATAGGTTGCTATAAATCTTATATTAGCAAGCATGTAATATTCTTAGCAAAGAGAAAAGACCTCACTATGGGGTTATTTTAACTTCTCTAGTTCTCCCTAGATATTATTTCTAAGCTGTGTCTAAGTAGAGGAAAGGAATGAAAATGCTATAATATTAGCACTAGCAATAGGGAGTAGTCAAGTAAACACAGTTCTGCTTTTACTGGCCGTCATTTCTTCTAAGATGTACCTCAGACTGACTGTAGTGAATGTTTCTCTGGAAGTTAATTTCTGTGAGAAATCATGCCAGAGACTAAGAAGCCATCTGATTATCAATGTGCGACTAGAACAGTATTGTTTGGAAGGTTGTTTAAGAGAATTTAATAAAAAAATGATATTAGATTGATTTCATTGCCAAAGCTATGTCCATAGAGCTCAGATACATTTTGTATGTGGATTTAAATCAGTTCCTTGGATCCAACATAGTTGGCTTTTAGAAGTTGCATGACCAGCTACACCCTGTTTGCTCAACCAAAGGGTACATGGCATGTGAGGCTATCTGCTACCTTAATCTAGATTTCAGAGTAGATTCGTCAGAGCTGGTTGGCATGAAAGACAGAACAGATAGGGATGGTGGGAAATGCTCTGACCATGTTAGCTCCCTTCTCACTCTCACTTATCAGGCAAAATAAATGTTTGCAGTAATTAGGGAAGGTCATAACTTTTGTCTCTTGACTCAAGGACAGTTTTGCTTCCAGGTTGTTGATGTTCTTCTTTGAACAACATAAGTAAAAATTTGAGAAATTTGCTTTTTTGAGAATCTTCTATACTGAGTTTCTTAGGGTACATTTTCAAAGAACAGGATAGTATAGTGTTTAAAAAACAAGAAGTTGGATATAAGGAATTAGCTAGTTAGGATATTTAGACATCTCTTAATAAATGTCATGAAACAAGATCTTCTAATGCTGATAATATTCTAAATACTTTTTTTTCAAGTTTTGATTTTGCATCTTCGTGAATGAGTGAACTGAAGCAATAATTCTGCACTGGAATATGTTCTGCAAAACATCTTTGTATCACAGAATAACAACCTCATCAGAAAGAAAGGCTAGACTACACAAAGTTCCGTCAAATCAAATTTGATTTTTCTTTTAGAATAATTTTGAATATTCATTGTGCAACAAAGCTATTCTTCTGGTAACCAGAGGAACACTTTCCATTTCACTTTGAAATATTAACCCATGCATACTTGTATCTACAAAGGAAATCATATAAAGGTGCGTTGGTCTTAGTAGAATATAACACCAGGCAACGTGGTAGATGTTGGGAATATGTAGAGTCTACAAACTGGACATCGTTTCTGTCTTCATGAAGCTTTCTGCCTACTGGAAGAAACAGTTTTTTGGTTTTTTTTTGTTGTTTTTTTTTATCAAACAAGCACAACAAAACATGTAGGTGCAAAATGTGACAAGTACTCTGAGGCAGAGGAGAACATGCTGTGTGAACATGTAACAGGGGAGTTAGTTTCAATGTGGGGCCTCTGTGACCACATGGCATTTAAAGATTTTCAGGTTTTTTAAATTAACTCTGGGAGCAACCTGGGTTCAGAAGAGCATCCCAGGCAGGGAGGACAGAATGTTAAAAGGTCCTGAGGTGGAATGGGAAAATCCAGTTTCTGGCTCATGTTTCATTCTCAATATTTGTTGAATGAATGAATAAATGCCACCTGAAAAATACTTCTGCATTGAAGCAGAATAGTGTAATTAATCATGAAAATAAATTTTAGCCATTATGATGTAGTGTAAATGCTTCAAAGCATGTACTTTGTGCTGCAGGCAAATGGTTCAGAATATCTAGTTTCTCATAATGTTCAATTTTTTTAAATTTTGCTTTTAGCTGTTGTTCCCTTAAAATAGATCAGTAATAGAATCTTCAGAGCTAAATATGTGAGCTCTGCAAAAGTGTTCCAACTTTTGTGAGAAGATGTCTCTTGACTGGCGCCAAAATTAGGATGAGGGGCCCAGGTCTTAATCCACTACAAGGGTCATAACATCATGTTATATCACCTCAACAGGGAGTGGAATAAGTATTTTAGATATGGAAAAGTAGCTTTAAGTTTAGGTTTCAATTTCCTTATTTGTGAAGGGTACCTACCTTTCCTACAATGTTTGTGAGAGTTCTGAGAACTATAAAGTTCTCTTTTGTAATTGCCTAAGGTATACTTATATGCATGTGTAGATATGGGTATAAAACACTGATTATTGGAAGAGGGAAAAGGGATTTAAATTTATTAAGGGCCCACTACACACCAAACGTTGACATGCATAGTATAATTTAAACCTTCATGGTACTGCTTCGTGGTAAATGGTATTTTCCTCATTTTATATGTGGAAAGACACAAGTAAGAAGTTAGCTAATTTGGCCAGGATTTATACCCACTTTTATCATCAAAACCAGAGTTTCTATTCCCCATGTGGGCTTGAGTTCTCTGTAGCAGAGATAGCAAGCAGTCCAGAGGTGGCAGAGCATGCAGGCTACTTAATCTTTCTGTGACTCCATTACCTAATCTGTAAAATGGGAATAAGGACAAAAATAGTACCGGCCAAGAGTGATGGTGGAAGGAATTCAAGTAGACTAATTTAAGATATACTTTAGTTATTTGTAAAGTCAATCAGACTTTGTAAAGGACTGGATGCCAGGGGGGAGAAAGAAAACATTATAATGGAAGACTGACATTTCTTGGTTTGAGTAGCTGGATAAGGGGTGACAACATTCTTTGGATAGGAAACATTGGAAGGAGAGGAAACTGGCACCAGTTAGATTTTGGAGACATGGAATTTAAACTACCTTTGAGACATGCAAGTGTATACATCAGTTAGGCCACAGGACACATGGAACTAGAGACAAGAGTAGAGGCCTGGGCTGAAGATGACCTTGAGGAATCCTTGGTGTATAAAATTTTAGGAGTGGATTGGAAGAAGGGGGGCTCAGGGCCTAGCCTTGAGGAATTCAAGCAGTGAAACTTCAAACAAAATGATACTTTTAAAAAGAAAAACAAAACATAAGCTCTGAAAAATAACAGCAGTGTTGTTAACAAACAGAAAATTTGAAGACTTCCTAGGAGCCAGAAAGCAGATAGGGCTGGGAAATCTATGAAAGAAAAAACCAGGGTAAACCAGGGTATGGAGTGGGAGGGACCGTGGGAGCCTGGTAGCAGTTCAAGTTAAGTCAATATGTACAAAGAGGAGGATTGGACCGCAGGCAACCAGTGACCAGTATTCACCAAGCAAGCTCAGTTTGGACATCTTGGTCAGTTTGGGCTGCCACTGGTGCCCATCGGATAAGGCTGGTTGTAAAGAAAATCTGAAGATGGACTCTAGAATAGGTCTGAGGGCCACCACAGCAGACAGCGATGGGTAACAAGCAGGACTGGAAGCTCCGCCAAGAGAAAATACATCGCAGCATTTTGCTCCCAGAGGCACCTCTCTGTCCCAGAGGGCCAGCTGAGTCTGGGTGTGGGCTCCTCTGAGGGCACTCAGACAGGCCCTCCAAGAGAGCAAGCCATCAGTGACAGGCCTGCAAGACATCAGAGCAACCCTGAGAGCTAGCTGTCGAAGTCAGCCAATAGACTCTCCATTCATAAATATGACTAGACAACTGAGGACTGCTAAGACTGTAAGGAAAACCAGCAGCATGAAAGAGAAGAGCCAAGAATGAACGAGCAGAAGAACTAACTCCAGAGAAAAAAATACATAATTTAAGGAACAAAAGGAACCCTTGAAAACTTCCAATCAATATTCTGAGAAAGAGTTAAGAAAATAATTACATCTGAAAACAAACAACAAAGGTAATACGAAAAAAGAGGAACGGGAAAGAAAAACATTATTAGAAGTTAAAATATGATTGACTAATTAGTGGACAAGTTGAAAAATAAAATGGATACAGGCTAAAAGTAAATAATATTTATCTACTCTATTCCCAATACTCCCGTCTGATACTGTGTGTGTGTGTGTGTGTGTGTGTGTGTGTGTGTGTGTGTGTGTGTTTTCCCACACTCACCAATTCTTCAACACCAGCTGGTTATCCTACAATTCAATTCAAATCTGATCCTATCTACTAGGCGTTACTGTCAGATGCCCAGGTTAAGGGCTCAGTTCCACAAGGCTGCCCCTACGTCAGATGATATGGCAAGTCCAGACATCCTGTACTTCTGACAAAGTAAATTGAATGGAATAATTTGCTAGAGTTGCTTACAGAAACTCCGGAAAGCAGTTTACTTACTAGGTTACCGGTTTATTATAAAAAGACAGAACTCAGGAACAGCTGGATGGCAGAGATGCATAGGAGAAGGCATGGGGAAAAGGTGTAAGCTTCCACACTCTCTCCTGGTGTACCACCCTCGCAACAATTCTGTTAAGATTTTTATGGAGACTTCATTACTTAGGCAGGATCAAATCATGGACCACAAGTGATTAACTCAACCTTCAGTCCCTTCCCGCCCCCAGGAGGTTGAGGGTGTGGTGCTGAATGTTCCAACCCTCTCACTTCTATTCTTCTGGGTGGTTTTGAAGATGTTTCTCTATATCTTTGACGTCTTGAACTACTTCATATTAATGAATATATTCATTTTCACTCCTCCTGCTTGAAGTACTATGCACTTTTTTTGAAACCCTAAGAACTGCCATCTTTTTTCCAGTTCCAGACAATTCTCTACCATCATGTCTTTCTATTTTGTGACTCCCTAGTCTCACAATTCTCTCCTATTAGAATAACTATTACAGTGTGTTTAAACTTCTTATTCTTGTTTTCCCCCAAGTCTCTTAACGTCATATTTTTCTTTATCTCCTTGTGATATAACTTGAGTGATTTCCACAGATCTATCTTCCAGTTTCATTACTCTACCTTCAGTGGAATTTTCTTTATTTCAATGACTATGTTTTTTATTTTTAGAATTCTCTCTTGGCTTTTTTAAAAAACCAGCCTGGTCTTCTATTCTAAAGATGCTATTTATTATTTTGAATCTTTTTATTATATTAATTTTAAAGTCCCTTTTTAATTGCTTTGCTGTAGTTAACTCAGGTGTGAATGTTGTTCTCATGCCTATGACACTCTCCCAAGGAGTTTCCATATGTGTTTGGTAGCTTTTGTAATTTGGAGTACAAGTTGCCTTCCACAAATATGCTGCATCAACACCGGATTGTGTAAGCCTTTCCATATATATATATATATATATATATATATATATATATATATATATATTTGTAAGGGGGTTTATGGATTTAATGAGTTCTGAAGTATTTTTTTGTTTGTTTCTCTGCTCAGGATTTTATTACCAAGAACCACATCTTCCAAGAGTGATAGTATTTCCCCCAATATGGTTCAACAAGAAATGAATGATTCTAATATCAGAAATTTCATATGAAATTGTATTGATAACATGATGGATTCATAGCATGTTTTCTTTTCTTTTCTTTTCTTTTTTTTTTCAATGCCAGTCCACCCTTTTTCAGTTACAACTGAGAAAACTAAGGGGCAAATAGTTAAATAACTTGTGCTGAGATCTCATGAATTAAAGATAGAGGGGAGTCTAAAAGCTAAATATCTTCGTTGTTAAAATGTATTTTAATTTTATGTAGATGGTGACTGATACTGATTCAAAGATAAACCTGAACTTCCTTTTGTTTCTATTCTTAACATTGGCTTCATGATCCAAGTGCCTAGAAAGTAGCTCCCTGAGCCCAATCCTACCCTGGGTTGCATGTTATCAAGCATTTTGGTGGTGTTAATTCTTTCATGCACAATTAGCAAATTAAAGTGGTAAGATCTTGATGTTACTCCTAGTAGAGACCCTAATAGATTCTGCATTGGTAGATCTTATTTGTCATCAACTTACTTTTGTATCCCTTTCTTTTAAGTCTTGCAATCTGCTTACAAATACCTAAAGGTTTGGAGGTAGAAGAGGGTTAAGGGAGGATAAATGGTGACAGAAGGAGCTTTGACTTTAGGTGGTGAACACACAAGCAATATACAGATGATGTATTATAGAATTGTACACTCGAAACCTATATAATTTTATTAACCAATGTCACCCCAATACGCTCAATAAATATAAAAAACATAGATAAAGCTTCTTGAAGACTGTTGCTACATCTTAAGATTTATTTTTTTCTTCTCACGGTTACTAGCAAAGCACCTGCTAAGTTCACATACACAGGAACTATATAAACATGTGCTTGCCCTAACCCATTTGGCTCAGTGGATAGAGCGTTAGCCTACGGACTGAAAGGTCCCAGGTTTGCTTCTGGTCAAGGGCATGTTCCTTGGTTGCGGGCACATCTCCAGTAGGGGATGTGCAGGAGGCAGCTGATCGATGTTTCTGACTCTCTATCCCTCTCCCTTCCTCTCTGTAAAAAAATCAATAAAATGCATTTTTTTAAAAATGTGCTGATTTGGGAATTTACTAATAATTTTCTTTCTTCCTGCAATTCAAGTCAATCTTTCTGTTAATATTTATGTGAAGTTTTCAGGAGTTTATTTCCTTTCCATGTTTGTATAGAGAACATATACAAAATAGGTGGTTCATATTCTTTTATCATTTAAAGAAAACCATAATGATTTATTTTATGTTCTATTTTCAGAACAGAGTGTACTGAACACCAACACAAAGTGGAAGAGCCTTGAGCTGAAGGTACAGTATACTGTTTACACTGAAGGAGCTCGTGTGTGGACAAGGAAGCGCTGACGGCTCAAATGGATCCTGTGGAACTGGCAAATGTCAACATGGGACCCGATGATGAGAGCAGCAGTGGAGAAAGTGCTCAAGACAGCTACTCCGGGATGGAAAACTTAGAAAAGGCAGCAATGAGCAGGTATGAGGTTAAAAATGACCAGTTTCCATGGGAGAATTAGACAGGTTTGTGGACATGGACAACAAGGAGTTTGTCGGGAAGAATTGAATGCATTACCTGTTTGAGAGATAACAATGATATTGATGTTAGTACATCAACTCCCTGATCCTGAAGTACTGATTATTACACCATTTTTATATGTCAATCCTTTGTGTGGCTAATTTAGAATTAAAGTTACATTGTTCCCATCCTCATTAATAATATAGAATAACTGAAATGACATTAGCCTATCACTTCTCTTACCTATCGGACCATTCTATCTTAGAGTCTTCTTCCTTGACTACCTTTTAACATTTGCTCCATCTCCAGAGTGCTGTAGGGATTCTTTTCTCACTAAAAGCGCCCTATCAGGAAGCTCATTCATAACTATCATGGTTTTTACCCACTAAATATGTGCTGTACCTTTAGCCTGTTAGACTTCTTAACTGAAGTCCAAATCATTACATGCCCTGTCTATTACACATCTCGACTGGATGACTCATGTATCTGAACTGCCTTATTTATGAAGTCTAAGTTGTAATGTCTAACATGGAACTCCTGTGATTCCTTTCAAACCCTGCTCCTCTTCCAGTAATTCCCATGTTGGTGAAAGTCCCCACTGTCATTCAATAACTCAACCAAAAGATCTCAGTTGTAAAACCACACATCTCCTATCCCAAACGACACATACAGTTGGGTCCACCTCATTAATGTTTCAAATTCACTCTCTTCTCTGTATGCATTCTATTGCTACCTACTATAGGCCTTCATCCTCTCTCACCTGTCTATCACCTGATTGGGCTCCCTGTTAATACATTTTGTTCTCCTCCAACTAGCCCTCCACCTTCTTGCAAAAGTAATCTTTTTTAAAAAAAAATATTTTTATTGATTTCAGAGAAGGAGAGAGAGATAGAAACATCAATGATGAGAGAGAATCATTGATAGGCTGCCTCCTGTACATCCCCCACTGGGGATCAAGCCCACAAGCTGGGCATGTGCCCTTGACAGGAATTGAACCTGAAACCCTTCAGTCTGCAGACCAATACTCTATCCACTGAAGCAAACCAGCTAGGGCAAAAGTAATATTTTACAAATGCAAATTGACTCATGTTCCATTGCTGGGTAAAATCTTTCCATGGCTCCCCATTAACTATAAGATAAATATGAGACTATACATTGTTTGGCATATAAGCCCCTTCATGATCTGCCCCTTACTTCACTCTCTGTCCTATCTCTTGCCTGCTCCCTGTGTTACCCTCCTATCTTGCCTTGATGAGCCGCTCACAGATCCTTGTGCCTTCATGCACTCTTCTGTCTCTCTGGAATGCCCTCTTTTAGTGTCACCTACCCACCTGTCCCTTTCTCTCTAGTGACTCCACTCACCTCCAAGATTCAGCTTAATGGCAGGTCTCCTATGAAGCCTTCCCCCGGGTAGAAGTGGCACCCCCTCCTTTGCACACCCTCTCCCTATCCAGATACTCATCACGCCACTACAGCAGGCTTATGGCTTCTGTGGCCCCAGCATATGTCCCACTGCCTGGTACATAGCAGGTGCACAACAGTTACTTGATAAGTAAATTAGTTTCTCACACAGTGTTGTATAATACAAGTTATGCATGACTTAAGATACCCAGAAGGGGATTTTTGAAGTAAGGAATATTATCTTCATGGGGGCTTGTCCTGGAGGTGGGAGTGGCCGGGGGGAGGGGGTGTCAATCGGGGAAAAAGGAGACATATGTAATACTTTAAACAAACAAACAAAAAGAATATTATCTTCAAACAAGGATGCCTCATTTTATTCACAACACCCAGGAAGGGCCATCAGGAGGGAGCACTGCTCTTCCTCTAAGGAGTCAGTACAGTGAAGTTTAGTTGGTGAGCTAGAAAGGCCCTGGAACCCTGGCCAGTGGGACCGGTGGTTAGAATGTTGGCTTGTACACCAAGGGATCTTGGGTTTGATTCCTGGTCAAGGGCCCATACCTAGTTGCAGGTTCTATCCCCAGCCCTAGTCGGGGCATGTGCGGAAGGCAATCAATTGATGTGTCTCTTTCATATTGATATTTCTCTCACTCTCTCTCTCACTCTCTCTCTCTCTCTCTCTCTCTCTCTCCCATTCCTCCCTCCCTCCCTCTCACCCTCTCTCCTTTCCTCTCTCTCTAAAAATCAATGGGAAAATATCCTTGGGTGAGGATTAATAATAAGTAACTAAAAAAGAAAGACCTCAGAGATGTAACTGATGGTATCTTCTACAGCAGGAAAAACAATGTGGTAAAACACGGGGCTTTGGAGTCTGCATAGTGGTTGCCCAACACTGGAGAAGGTATTTTCTTCTTTGGGTGTTAGTAGAAAATGCAGACTGGCAACCCAGCACCCACTTTTCTGAGAATAAAATGATTCTCAGTAAACGTGTTCTTTCTCCTCTACTGCATCACCCTTGGTAAACTGACCCAAGTCTGAGGGCTCTTTTGTTTCTGAGAAGGATGCACACAGAGAGGAACTCTGCAGAGGTGGCCAAGCTGAGGGAGACACTATCCCAAGGTCAGTCCTGTGGAGCCATTTCATTGCTCCTCTAAACGCCATAATGGAAAGAGAAAGGACGCTTTTGTTAAGCTTCATACAGCATGTTCTGGACCATTCACAGTGCCCTACCTTTCACTTCTGATTCAAACATAGGTCATTAGTTTCCAATTTTATAATCACCTTAAAGTGGGTTTTGTTTTTATTTGGTTTGAAATGTAAATTTTTGAGAAATTCAACATAATGCATTTATTTGGAATCACTACACTGTGTTTTCAATACATGCTGGGTTCAGTATCAAAACATTGAAGACACTGGGGACATTCCTCATATTTTGTACAATCTTGGCATGTTTCTTGAGCACAACTCATCCCATGCCAAAATAAGAGCATGCAAATGCCTTGGAGAAAAATCTAATTACTTCCACATTCTAAATTTTAAAAACTACTCATGGACTAAAGGATTCTAGTTTATTGACTAAGGTAAAAAGTAGAATGCTGGGTATTCCAGAGTTTAAATCACTTTTGTTTTTATCCTTAGGCCCATTTTAGGCTCCATTTCATCTTATTGTCTCATATTCCAATTATGAATATTATATGCCAGTCTCCACATAGCAAACTACAGACTAAATAAAACACAAAGGCGTGCAATGCAGAGATGGAAGAAGGCGGCACCTGAGGGCGTTACGCTTCCTAAGGGAAATAGGAGGAGAATGGCAGGAAATGTTCCAACCTGGATGTACACTTGAGGGTCTTGAAAACCCACACCTCAGGTTCTAGAAAGCACATAGAACTTTGTGATCTTGTCTGCTGGTTCTGTCGACACCTGTGAGAACTGTTCTCTATTCTCAAAAAGTAACCTCGTCATCCCTCTTCCTCACAAGGTTCCTTTCAGGATTAGTTCCTATTATTAAATATAATCGGCACAGATCTCCCATATTAATTATTTTCCACTTTTTTATTTATAAGGGTCATTTTAATAAAATGTCCTCCAATTGTTTTATCTTACTCTGTCATGTAAGAAATGCCCTAAAAATTGCAATCTATCTCATTATAAAGCACTTTGAAGAAGCATGCATAGGTGAGCATTTCATATGACCAAAAGAAAGCCTGTGTGATACTGTGCAGTGTCCATAGGCAATGGTGGCAGCTGGACTCATTAGTCAAGCCTTTGGAAATGGGGCTGGTAGTAGGTTCATACCCTCAGAGCCCCTGGCCAGCAAGTACAGGAACCAACCAGCACAGTGAGGGGTGTGTAGCTTCCAGCCTGCGCACAAGTAGACCATAATCACATGTTCTGTCAAGAGTGACATTTTAATGTCACGCTTTCCTCTCAACTCTTCTCATAAATCATTGGGTTTCTTTAATGTTTTCTTAGTTTCGTCCATTGTCTAATCACCCAAGCCTATTTGCAGAGTGACTCAAATATACAAACTCACACAACAAAAACAACCAAACACAACATCAAGCTACCACTGAACTACTTTCTAGAGAGGGTTATGTGAATAAACAGATGGAGACAAAAAAAAGAGGAAAATATCAGCTATAGGCCCCTGTCTGGGACGGCATGTGGAAGATGCTGGACTTGGGGCGTGGCGGGTGTAAGCATGTGACTTCACTTATATGAGCCATAGTCACCTTGTCCTTAGACTCAGGGCACAGAAGGCCCTCTCATGGGGATATTTGAGCATCAAGTGAGATGAGGACCACAGTGCCTAGTTTGTTAATAAGCATTTATTGAATTAATAAAATTATCTGATTATAGCGTGGGAGTAGTTGAGAAACCTCCATGACGAGTCTTTATCTTTCCTTTGGAAGAGCTCTAAGTGGAAACAAAATGAGCTCTAATTATTCTCTTTATTGCATAATTAATATGAGGAGAAGAAATGTGGTTTTAAAAATTCCAACTAAAGCGCCAATACTTTCTTCTTTCATAACTTCCTCCTTCCCTCCCCTAACTGGAGCTCAGTCACTGGGCTGGAAGGGACACTCCTATGGAGGAAAAGAGGAAAAAGTTTTAGGCGTCCTGTTTTTCCTCCTCTTATTCCATCACTTAAATCACCTGAAACATAGATATAATTCAGAGCCTTTGCTTAGATGTATTTACTTTCTTATTTTCCTTTTTCTATTCTCGTTCAGTCAATTTACTAATGAAGATGATGAAAGTCAGAAATTCCTGACAAATGGATTTTTGGGGAAAAAGAAGCTGGCAGATTATGATGATGAGCATGTAAGTGAATCTCTGCTTTCAGGCAATAAACAGGACTTGAGGGTGTCTGATCTACCCAGGTCTCTGTGGGAAAACAGTGTGACTGAAATTTTCCAAGCCTTGATCAGCACATTCTCTGTTTATTCAGGCCCTTACTGGAATAAGGGCTTGTTTTTCCTGTTCGCCATATGGCTACATAAATCATTTATGAAATTTATTTGTTTTTTGGAGAAATCATTCTAACCCAAATGCAATCTGCAATCATACATGTTTTCCCTTCTTTGTGATACTCAACCTGTATTTTTTTTTTAAACCGAGATCCTTGCTAGAGCTAAGCACTGAATTCCATTGACAATTACATGCTTTTATTGAAGTTGAGTCAATAAAAAAGCTTTTATTCACTGTGATGTTATCTTAGTCTTCAGGCTCAGACTATAATCTCCTCCAGTAAAGATAATGTGAAAATAAGAATAATCCCCAACTGGCTCATTCTCTGGGAGTTATTTGCTGATACTGTGTCCCTTTTTCTTCAAGCATCCTGGAAACACCTCGTTTGGAATGTCTTCATTTAACCTGAGTAATGCCATCATGGGCAGCGGAATCTTGGGCCTGTCCTACGCCATGGCCAACACAGGGATCATACTGTTTGTGTAAGTGAACGGATATGTCCACATCTGGTTTGAAGCCCATATATACCTGGTGTTCTTTTAATTAACAATCTGAAGTTTGATCTTTGTGAACAGAAATAATCTGAGACCATAGCATATTCCTCTTGCTTTTAGATAAAACAGCAACCTGAGGAGGAATCAGAGTAGTCAAATCATAGTACGTGTTCAACCAACTGTCCCTAATCAAATGGCAGAAACTGTATGCTCTCAGCCAGCCACAGTGATGGAGAAGCCCCCCACCACAGCCTATAGGACCATTAAAAAAACACTAATTCATTATTTAGTGGATGCTTAAAATAATTGGTGGTTAGTAGTCAAAAGATCTTTCTCAGAAGCAAAGCTGACTTTATAACACTTTTGGGAAAAAGACTCACTTTAAATCAGGGCCCTGCCTACCCTGGTTCTATGTCACACCTCATCTCTCATGTCCCTGGGCACCAGATATACTGGGCACACTAGCCTTTTCTCCATTCTATGAAGGCGCAATGTTTCCTCTTACCACAGGGCCTTTGCACATGCTCTTGGAAATCCTCTTTCCTTTTCATGTAGTAACTCCTGATATCTCAGCTCAGCCTCACACCTGTGCTGCCTTCCCTGACCTCCATGACTGGGACAAACCACCTTACCACCTTTATTATGCACTTACTCACCATTTTTAATGTTTCAGTATAGTTGTGTGACTTATTTGATAAATGTATATCTCCCTTGCTACACTGTAACCTCCAGAGAGTAGAGTCCAGGTCTGATTTTACTCATCACATGTTTGTATCCCCAAGACCTAGTACAGGCTTAGCACAGGGAATATTTGTGGAGCGGCCCAAGTCTATTCCTAAACCTATGCACTGTAATCAAATGTGGTCAAAAGCTGCCTGAGATTAGTAACGTCACACAGCTGACCTGGAGGAAGGATACTGCATTGTCAGTGACAGACAGCCACAGGTGCTTGTGTGCATTACGTCCTGCCTGGTATTTTCCAAGACACAGTTGGCAGCACTGGAATTCTTCACAGGAATCAAGTCTGATATTAGTCAGGCATCAGTGTGAATGCAGATCACAATCTCTAATGCAATGCTAGAGCATTAAATAACTGTCTAAGAATGCAATATTTATATTACAAATATATGCTATTTATGTTCTGAACATCACTTATGATTAGATAATCACACAGCTATTTGAGGGCTAAGGATCAAGCAGGACTATAAATATTTATATTGAGTTAGTGCTTTCATTGAAATGTTTTAGCTATAAGATTTTTTAGCTGAATGGGTTTTTATATCAACTTTTATAAGCCATGTTTGAAATAAACTCATTTTTTAAATTCTCTGAATCTTCCTAGCTAGAGATGTATTCACATATGTAGCTGCATATATAATGTCTTCTCATTAATTACACATACTATCAATAATTAGGAAGTTAGCATAGATCACTGGTGAACAGAAAAACTAAACATTTTCCCCAATGCTAGAGCCACAGGTCATTTCCAGTTTTAGAACCAAGGGCCTCACTTCAGGCTTACAAACATGCAGCAGGTTAATTTGGCCAGAGAAGCTAAATTGCTCTACATTGTGGGTATGTTTTATGTGTAAGCAGCTCAGGCTGGATTCAGCTCTCGCCCTTAATTCACAGCAAGTGACACAGTGTTTCATTGGTTTTACTCTGTTTGCCAAAGCAAGCTTGTGTTTAGAATACTGGGAATGTCCAGTATTTTTCCAAGTGACAAAATGATGTCATCTGAAATATATAATTCTTTAAGAACAGGTAAGCTCACGAGGCATGCAGAACACATGAACAAGTCATTGATTAGTCAGTTCTGGCACAACAAAGTTAGAGTCATTATAAAATTAGTAACTTGTGGTCCAAATGTACAGTTGCAACACTGACTGCAGAGGGAGTTACCAACGGACATGATCAACTGTGGGAAATGTTTAGTGTGCTCTCTTCATGTGAAAACAGTCAAAGAATGTGATTTTTTGTTTTTAAATGTCAGGCAACATTTAATATTGCTCTTTAAGTTATTACATAAATGCCTCTATTCTTGTTTTTCAAGTCTTGTTTTTGGAGAGACACTGATAACTAGCTAGGTAAAGAAATCCTATATGCATGTAGACATGTGGAGGGTCCTGAACCAGGAATGATTTTTGTTTTAATACAAGAAAGCAATTCCCCTGCACCCTACACTTACCTTTCTGTTTCTCTGTTGCCTGACCCTCTCGTTCACCGCTTGACCCCTGATGTGCTGGGACAGTAGTAATGGAGCTCAGACTCTGCTCGCTTCGGCTTTTCTGTTTCTCGGATTTAGAATAAGGTTTAGCGAGACTACTGAATAGCCCTATCTATGTTGGTACAATTATCGTGCAAATATGATGTATACAGACCCATGTGCTGAGTAAGCAGATGTGGTATTTGCTAATTTTGTTATACATTTAGCACCTAAGTTATGAACCAGATTTTACTACTGGGTAACACACACACACAAAAAAAGAGAGAGAGAGATTAGGAACTTCAGGCAGTAGGTTTTGGTGCATAAATAATAGCACATTCCAGCTCTGTAGCATTAAAGAGTATGTGTGGAGTTCTGAAAAGAATTTCTCAGCTTCCCCCAAATCCATACTTTTGGAAAGTTAATGATTGAAAAGACCAATGTGATCATTTATTGTAACATCTGTTATTATGTATTATGTATTATAGAAACTTATTTCTATTCTCTGTTCCCCTCACAGAATCATGCTGCTTACTGTGGCAATATTATCACTCTATTCAGTTCACCTTTTATTAAAGACTTCAAAGGAAGGAGGTATGCTACCCATTAAGTCCAAATGTCCTATTTTGATTCTCTTTAAAGGGTATTTTAGTCTATAGCTCCATAACTATAGGATGATTTTGGTCAGTTTCACATTTTATTTTCTTCTGAGCCCAATAATATGGTCTCTCAATATTTTTAGTTATTTGAGCAACTGAGAGAAGTGAAAGTCAACTGGCTCAAGTTGAAGCCAAATAGATAAAAAGATTTTGGTAAATAATAAGAGTTTCAACTTGCTGCATGGAGCTCACATGAATGAAGCCACTGCTTTTTGTGTAGGGAATATTTTAACATATTTTGCATTGGTTTTTGATATCGCATCTTTTGAGTTTATAATTTATATATGGTTCTTATTTATACATTTGAGACTCCAGTGTAGAATTATATTACAGAAATATTTTAGTCATTAAAACAATCTTTTTAACAAGGTTATTTTATCTTTGATTGTAGGGTCTCTGATTTATGAAAAATTGGGGGAAAAGGCATTTGGATGGCCTGGGAAAATCGCAGCTTTTATTTCCATTACAATGCAGAACATTGGAGGTAAGGAGATATAGCCTTCAACAGGCTACTTAAACTTTCTAAAGAATGTTTAATATATAAGAAAACTCTTACACAATACATGAGCACTGTAAATACAGAAAAATAGCTGCTTTGTAGTTTTTAAATTAAAAAAATAAGTTTTAAAAATAGACTTGCTGCCCCTCTTTAAGTAAAAATAACAATATGTAACAATGAAATACTATATAAAACCCTACCAATGACTTCTAGAATTAAAATATAGAGTAAAACCTTCCTTGAAATCTGGGTGTCAGCCTAAATTTTCACTCTCTCCCTAATCCTGAACATCCAATCAAATACCAACTGGCTCCTGTTCATGTTATCTCTTACTTACCTCTTCAATCTTTCCTCTCGTTCTGTTCTCACCACTACAGTGATAACCTAAACTTGAATTTCCCCTGCTCCTATCTCTAATTCATCCTACAGATTAACTTTCTCAAATCAAATCTATTCTTGCTTCTACTGTGCATAAAATTCTTCCTTATTATTTTCAAGGTAAAATTTAAACTCTTTGGCCTGATATGTAAGGGCCTTCATTATCTTTCCTCCACCTACCATTCTGATACCTTTCCTAACAACCCCCTCAAATCTATCTATCTATCTATCTATCTATCTATCTATCTAGTCATCTATCTATCTCACCTATCTCTCCACTATGTGTCTGTGTCATCTCATAACAAATTATATTCAGTTCCCCTGTTCTTGTAGTTCTCCACCCTAACAAACACAATTACACAGATTTGCTCTCTCTCTCTCTTTCTCTTTCTCTTTCTATCTCTCTATCTCTATCTCTATCTCTATCTCTATCTCTATCTCTATCTCTATCTCTATCTCTCTCCCCTCCCACAACCCACCACTTCTCTCGGCTTTTAGGAACTAGTATTCCCTACTTCCTCTGGGCTCCCTTAGACCTCTTTGTAGGTATCTTGTCTGTTACTATTTTTAAAAGGTACTTAAAACCCTTGCATGGATGGAAGGCTTTTGGATTCAGATGCACCTCAGTTTGAGTCCATTTCTGTCACTATCTGTGACCTTGGGAAAGTCACGTTGCTCCTTTGAGTCTAATTTTCCATCTATGAAAGTGGGAGTAATATTCCATCCTCACAAGGTCGCTGCAAGGATGAAATAAGACAACATATGGCACATGCTTCCTTCCGCCCTGGCTCTCAGATCCGATGTCCATGTCTCTGGAGCCCTTCTGATTATTTTTTAAATGGACACTTTTATAATTATAAGACAAATAAATGCTAACTGTGAACAACTAAAACATTACTTAAAAATATAGATGACAAAGAAATGTTTATGTAAGTCACCCTTAGAAATAACAACTTCAGGTTTTTCTCTGCCAAATTTAATAAGTATATTTTTTTCTGTTAAAATTGGACCTTCTTTTAATACTGATTTGCAGTTTGCTTTTTTAAAATTTAACAATATGCCCTGACTGTATCCACGCATTGTCCTTTTTAATGGCTTTTGCATTTTTTATTGTGCCAGTGTAGCATAATTGGCTTACTGAATCCCTTATTGATAGACAGTTGGATTGTTTCCCGTTTTTCACTCTTACAGACGATGCTGCAGTAAATAAACTTGCACAGAGATCTTGCAAATAGGTAACCCTTTTTGACAAATAAAATCACTGGAATTATCTAGGATTTCTGGAATGCAGCAATTCTTTTAATAACCTTATCTAACTATATCTGCTCCTGATGATGGATAGTTGATAAGCAGATAAAATCCAGGCATATATGGATTTATATTTGTTTCTTCTCGTGTTTTTATATGTTAAGACTACAATCTTGGGCAGAATTTGGCAGTATTGACAGGATTGCTTCATTCATTTTACTGGTTTGGGGTCATAAGCATGTCAGCCCCCATCCTCCACCAAATAGACTGCTCTACATTTGGTTCAAATTTTCAGCCTTATCAGGATTTAAAGTATCAAGCATTTCATAGGATTATCTACAGTTGATCTATTTTGTTTGGACAACTGAAATGATCATACACATATTTAGCCCTGACTACAACAGGCTAAGTGGCAATAGCACCGTCTATTGTTCAAAGTATAGCTACTATTACGCTTCTAAATAATGGCATAAACTATAAAGTGGTGTCTCGATGAAGCCACACACATGACAAGAAGTGTGGCTTTAAGGTAGAAAGATAAAATTTTATATATAGTTCCTAAAAATGCTCTCACTTTGGTTACTCTACTTGATGAGTGGTTATTTTGCCCTAAGGGGAATCACTTGTATTTCTGTATTTAGCAACTCCACATTTAGAACGTTTAATTTCCTCAGTCCCCTGAAAATTAACATTTACCATGGATGTTTCAACACTGGCAGAATCATGTTGACATTACCCAGACAGGTCGGGATCATTCTGAATTTTTGAAGACCAAACACATTAACAGTGGTAACGTCACTGAAAGTCAGCAATAATAGCTCTCTAAAATTGAATGGTACCGCACGAAGCCAGCTAATCAGAAATATCTCGTCTGTTTACTCTCTGCAAGATTTTGCTTTAGCCAAGCTTTGTAAAGATTAACCAGATAGTGTTTGCAGAAGATACAGCAGGTATTGTAAGAATCACTTCACTCCACAAGAGAGGAGGAGCACTGGCCTGAAAGCAGGGAACGTGCACTTGGGATGAGGTCTGTCATGGTCAAGCTGCATGATCTCGGACATGCCATGGAAGCCATCTGCCCTCAGCTGAGGAATGAAGATAATAATGTACCTCTTGCTGTTTAGATGAGTGATGTGCAGAACTAAAAATGTGGGGGATTATTATCACCGTTATTACTTCCATTTGAGGTTAAGGAAACATCTGTAATATTCATTAGTTTAATGTTAATAGTTCAACTTACAACTTAGTATCTGCTTTAAAATGTGTTAGCAAAAATTCGCCGGGAGGATGTAGCATTCAGCTGAATTCTACATTCAGTTTCAATGTAAAACCCGCCAGTTTATTTTTAATTGAGACTTTTGACGGTGTATCAAATAACAAAACACTGAGTAGATGGAACTGAGAAAGGGATGTTGCATAAATCCCTACAGTTGTAGGCAAAAATATATATTATGCATATATACACATATACTGAATGTTTTTCCAGGGATTGGGTTTATAGATTTCATCTGGTTTTTAGAAGAGTGCATGATAACACATCTATCACTTATCTAAATGCTCAAGAAATGTTGCCACTTCGTATAATTTCTTATTCAGCCAAAGGAAGGCCAGGAGGCAGAGGAGGAAAATTTTCATTGACCATGGGAGGAGGAGCTATCCACTCCTGGATTCTTTTATCAGTCAAGTATGACACCAGATTAGACAGTGGTCTGAGATTTGGTGTGCCCCTCAGGGAGATACAGAGGACTAGACTGGCCCCCACCTGGAGAGAGCTAGAGGGACACGTAGTCTACCGTGGTGAACCCAGGCCTTTTGTTGCCAGGCCCTTCCTCAAGTTATAGACACTAAGACAGGATCACCCAGCACAGTTCCTGATGACTTATAACTAATGAGGGGAAAACATTCAAAGTGCAGCTTCACTGAAAACCTCAGAGCAGGATTGAACACAGAATCGTTATTGATACTGTTAGCGAAGTTCCAGATGCAAGAGCCAGAGGGCCAAACGGCTATTTTTGGAAAGAACTTGGAAGCAGTACAGAATACACAGTGGGGAACTTTCCTTGCCATTTGGGGGACTAAACGTGCACCTTCCTGGGAAGAATGTGTATCTCAAATGCAAGGACTTCTCACAACTTGCCCGTGACTTTGTTGCTGTGCACTCTACTAAGCTGTCGTGCTTTTCGTTTTAGCAATGTCAAGCTACCTCTTTATCATTAAATACGAACTACCTGAAGTAATCAAAGCATTCATGGGACTTGAAGAAAATACGGGGTAGGTCTTCTGTTCTCTCTGTAATAGCAAGTGACTCATTCTAGTTGGTCTTTTCCAATCCCAATATTCTGGTCTGTCTTTCTCTTCTAGAGAATGGTACCTCAATGGCAACTACCTCGTCATATTTGTGTCTGTTGGAATCATTCTCCCACTTTCTCTACTTAAAAATTTAGGTAAAGTTGTTTTTTATTTTTATTTTTGTTTTATATTTATAGTAAGCTGATTGTAGATGCCATATTCACCTTCCAGAATTTCTCTGCTAACTTCTAGGTTACCTTGGTTATACCAGTGGATTTTCTCTTACCTGCATGGTGTTTTTTGTCAGTGTGGTAAGTGATTTATTGACATGATTCTTATAGCATGAGATGCGTTTAGTGACTGAATTAGTGTTCTTTTTTGTTGTTGTTCAAGCACCTCACTAGCATGAAATAGTTCTTGCATCACAAACAATATTTTTTTTTTGTATTCTAATTTGGAATGAGAAAAGAACAGTCATGAGTTTAAAAATAGTTGAGTTAGAATGTCAAGACCATTGCTAATAGTATGTTTTAGGCTCACACAATATATATTTGGACCAAAAGAATACTTCAAGTGGGAACATGACAATAGCCTAGTATTTAGAAGGTGGTAGAAGAAGATAAGATTCCTAGAAGAGAAATGAGTAGACTACCGATTAGCCATATCCGCATGAATTAGCCATTTTCTCTTAATCATTCTACCTATGAAGAGAGGGCAACCACAGTGGGAATAAAGAAGAAATCCCTCCCCTCACCTGTCCCCAATCCCCACCAAAAAGGAATTTCTTGTAATATCATGGGTGCCAGATTTTATACAGCATTTCTCCAAAGAGGTAAAGGAGAAGAAGGGAGTTTTTAATAACCCATATTATTATTAGTTTGAAAAAATAAAAGACATGAGGCAGAGCAAGGAAATGATCATCTTTTAATGGAAGAGTATGAATGAAGCTTACGATGGATTCATGCAGAATACTGTCTTGTTGACTTTAAGGGGTAGGGCTTCCAACTCTAGCTCCAGCTCTTTCCTTAGAACAGAGGCTAGAGAGAGGGAGTCTCCATTGTCCATTAGTCTAAAAGGAATCATCAGCAGAGGCCCCTCACCTTCATCCCATAAGGCACACATACAGATTTTCATATCATTGTATTCAAAAGGCTAACGCTGTTGTTTTTTTATGATTGGGTCTAGGTGATTTATAAGAAATTCCAAATACCCTGCCCTCTGCCCAATCTGGATCACAATGTTGGAAATTTGACATTCAACAATACATTTCCAATGCACGTGGTAATGTTACCCAACAACTCTGAGAGCAGTGGTGTGAACTTCATGATGGATTACACCCACCAGAATCCTGCAGGGCTTGATGACAACCCGGCCAAGGACTCTCTTCATGGCAGCGGAGTAGAGTATGAAGCACACAGTGATGACAAGTGTCAACCCAAATACTTTGTATTCAACTCCCGGGTAAGTGCGAGGCCTGGGTCTCTAATGAGCCTAGTAGTGTGGCCTCTGAGCATTTATTTCATAAGCTGAGGTGGCCAGGGATTGCCATCCGTGTTGGAATGCTAAACATGCGGTGTTGTCTTTGTTTTTCAGACCGCCTATGCAATTCCTATCCTAGCATTTGCTTTTGTTTGCCACCCTGAGGTCCTTCCCATCTACAGTGAACTTAAAGAGTAAGGCAGCCATCATTTTAGCATTCTAATTTGCTTTGAAAATGGGCTCATATGTTCAATGGTGCTTTATTCAGTAGCATGGTTTATAGCTTTCTCTTTAGAGAATTTGTGCTGTAACTACTCTTCAGTAATGTGCTTTAACCAGAAAGGTGTGAGTCAGACCCATCACCGCACTACCTTCTCTACATCCCTCTCTTCTATTCCTCCACCCTAATGGTCCAGGGGAGGGTCCAGGGAAGGGGAGAAGCCAGTGGCTGTAAGGATTTTGGCAGACATGGAGGATTCAAATTTTAATTTTGGTGGAAAGAAGTGATGTCACTTGAACTGGAAACTACCACACTCATAAAGATAAAAAATTATGGTTAGGGTGACCTTACTAGGCCACTGAGGTCTCCTGTAGTCAGTCCCTAACCCTTGTCTAGAAGAATTGACCACAGAGATGTGCCAATATCTGACCTCCATTGTCTTACCTGTACAATGGAGACACTGGCTAGACAATCTTGTTTCTTCCAGCTGATATTCTGTCATTAATACTCTTTGCCCTTTGAGGTTGTTGCATCCACTTGAGGATGAGTTGGGTCTGAGCCCATTACAATAGCAGCTTCCCTCTTTGGCCTTAAGGGATAATGTCATATAATAAGTTCAGCTTCTTTAACACAGACATGAACAATCTCAGTCTTCATTTTTACTAAGTAGCAATAACTTTCCCCATAAATTCTGATTTATTTCATAAAAATTTTTTGGAATTTTAAATTATTTTTATGTCTTGGAAAATCACATGTAGCAGTTACTCTAGAGGCCTGACAATTGACTTCAAGCCACTGTGTGCCTTCCTGGTTTCTAGAAGCTGTCCAGGTAATAATATCAAGTATCCTGGTAATAATAGAACTCCTAGAGGTAGGGTTTTGCTGATTCACGTAGGTACTTGTCCTCAATAAACCCACCCCACTATGAAATATTAAGGCTTTCATGTTAATTACATTGTTAAATACTCAGTAGACAAGCTTACTTGTCAACAGGAAATAAACTTGTCCTCTTTTAGGAAGGTAGTTGTTTCTAAGACTGAAGGAGTAATGTTTTAGAAAAATGGAAACAAATCCTTTATAAGACAAATTTAAATAAGCTATGCTTTTGCATCAGGAATGAGGTTTTATAATGACATCCATCCTTTCATGATTTTCTTATTTTCATTTTAAAAAGTGACCTGTTCATAAATTTAAAGAAACAAACTCAGTGTTCATTTTATTTCCAGTCGGTCCCGGAGGAAGATGCAGTCAGTGTCGAATATTTCCATCACGGGGATGCTCATCATGTACCTGCTTGCTGCCCTCTTTGGTTACCTAACATTTTATGGTAGGTCACTCTGTCAACGTCATTCTCTGTGCAAATCCTGGCTGAACGGATCATTAATCCCAGTAGGTATCATTCTTTTAGTACCCTCTTAAGCAGCATGAATTGTAGATACAAGTACTTGGTTAACATGCTCTCTTAATCATGTCACTTGACCCAAGAAAATAGGACCTGAACCAGCTTGGCTAACAAATTACAACAATTTGTAAATTCACACTTTTAAAAAATAAATATTTTATTGATTTTTTACAGAGAGGAAGAGAGAGGAATAGAGTTAGAACCATCGATGAGAGAGAAACATAGATCAGCTGCCTCCTGCACACCCCCCGCCGGGGATGTGCCCGCAACCAAGGTACATCCCCTTGACCGGAATTGAACCCGGGACCCTTGAGTTCGCAGGCCGACACTCTATCCACTGAGCCAAACTGGTTAGGGCCATACTTTTTTTTTAATTCCTCAAATTTAAGTATTTTCCTTCTGGGATAGGTGGTATTTCTTTGGCTTGACTCCCTAATCCATCTCAGGCTAGAAGCAATGAGAGTGAATCCAATTGCGTGTTGTAAAGCTCTATTGGTTGAAAACTACCTACCAAGCAAATGGCAGAAAAAGTACAACATTCTAGAGTTAGAACCTGTTTTTTATTTACCAGTTAAGTCAAATCTGAGGGCTTGTAGCATTAGGCAACATTTTTTGCTCATCCTATTCTATTCTGTTATAATGAATGGTTTCCTAAAGAAAGAAAAGTACATGCCAGAATTCCCTTCAATCTGGGAATGTACTATCAAAACAAAATGTGACATGGCCCCATTAGATTATGTATGCCTAAAACACTTCCTCTATGGCATCTTAACGGGACACAAAAGGAGTAGGATTGTCATTCCCTTCTCCGAAGCATGGTCCTACAGACAAATTTCAGGGAGTCAAACATTGGCCTGCTAGTATTTGTTCACACTAATCATAAATATACTTTTTGTATAAACTTAACTTTTTGCATTTTTCTGAGTGACTTGGTAAATTAAATTGTTTGCAAGACAAGTTGAGGGGAAAGACTGGGTGAGGGAAAGCACCATTTGATTGACTTTTATTCTATTTGACCAATATTTGGCTATTAACCAAGTACTTGCTTTAGAGTGGGCATTAAGTCCTTTCTGGCTGTGAGTTAATGAAAGTCCAGTCAATACCACTGAAGATATTTTTTTATCCTCTGTCTGATTTTGAGGGGAGTAATGGGACAGACTGCATCTGATTCTATTAGCACCTCCTTGTCATTTGTGCTTGAAATTCTAAATGACTGTGTTTTCCAGGAGGGCAGCATCTTAGTCTTAGCACAATATTCATTGAGAGACCCTGTAAAACTCATACTAACTCATCCTTGCATGTTACTTATATTGACTCTGAGTTTCATAAGACAAGCAAAACTTGAAAAGTCCAAATGTATGAGTATCCGTGTTGTCATGGAGTCATAATCGTTGAGCTTGAAGAAATGTTGTAGATCAATTGTACTAGGGCTTCCATACTGGATTAGGAGAAGCTGCCTCAGGCTGACTGGGCAGGTGCGGGTAGAGGGGGTGGTGGTGACAGGGTGTGAGGGACAACTGGTGGTGCTTGGGCCTTTCATGACCTTGAACCAGGGCACCTCAGTCTATCATCTGTTTTGTGATGCTTCAGAGGAGCAGAGATAGATGTATCACCATGCATAATAGCCTCTGCAATGTGTAAGCTTCAGGGCCCCTTTGTTCAATGGTCACACAGCTAATAAGCTCAGAGACACAGTGAAAACAGAAGTGTCTGGATTCGCCGACATGAGTTGTTTCTACTGTACTATGTTCCCTCTGTAGAATGTTGCCAGAGGTAACCAAATGGACTCTTTCTATTCTTCCTCTTTGTAGGAGAAGTTGAAGATGAATTGCTTCATGCTTACATCAAAGTGTACACATTTGACACCCCTCTCCTCATGGTACGCCTGGCGGTCCTTGTGGCAGTAACACTAACGGTGCCCATCGTCCTGTTCCCAGTAAGTACATGGAGCTTTGAGGAAAGAATCCTGCTTGAATCTGTAGATTAGTACATATGTTCTGACTTGATATGGGCTTAATTATAATGTGAGTTTGCAATTGCAATGCCCGAGGAATATTATTATTTTTTATACAGCATTTTGGAGTCACTTAAAATTGACTATAGAGCAAGTATTTTTAGATGTTAGGTATTTTTAAAGTGTAGGGGGAAAAATTATGAAATTTATTTTTATTTATTTTCCAGCCTTATTGAGGCTGAAATTTATTTTTAAATTTAAAATTAAAAAACAGATCTTGAACTTCTATCTTGTGCATTAGTAGAAGTGAGTAGAAGTTCATATAACTTCTGACACTTGAAAGCCAAAACCACAATAACTTTCAACTCATATTACATTTCACCACAGTTTTGAAGGTATTTTATCCCCCCACCCCAGTTTATTGTGCCACAGTAACATCCAAAAGGCGTATTATTTAACCTAATTTCTTGAAGACTAATTAAAAGGGGTTCATGTGAAGTAAATGGCATCCTAAAACCAAATTTTTGGGTAAAGTTACATTATCCATCATATATCTCTTCTACTGCCCCCCAAGCGGACACATGTCCTCATTGGCGTGCCCCTTCCTGGCATTTGCATTGGCGTCAGTTTTGCTGGGATCATAGAGCGGGGCTGGTTGTAGAGATTTGGGCTGCGTGAGTTAAAACTACCACCTATGGATAAACATAGGTCTGTGCTCTCCTGCCAACTCTTCTCCTTTCATAAACACTGAATTTACTCATTCATTTTAGGGGGGGAAATAAGCGACACAGTAACCGGCACTGTCCTGTACAGAATGTTCCATACAGGGCCAAGCAGAGGAGGACTGCTCATGTAATGACTCTGTGGTCACTTTAAATGCAGTGTGTGTGCTGAAATATGTTTTGGCACATTCCTTTTTCATGAGTGCATGAAATCAGATCCTTATTGCTATGTTGGCTAATATTTACTGTTAAATAATGTCTTGCCTCTCATATATCTGAAAGTATTTCAAATGACATGTACACAGCTTTAGCCTAAAATCAGCTCCAGCATGGATACAAGGCAGAAGACAGCTGTAGACAGAAAGTGTATTATAGGGTAGAATTTCTAAGCAAATCACATCACTGGGAAAAGAATACTGGGAGCCCTTCTTTTTGTATGTAAAGATCACTAATTACATTTTGGTACACCGTAGGCACATCACTGTTGAATCAAAGCATTTTGTAAAAGAAATCTGGTATGTGCTTCTGTATTGCTTTATTCATAAACCCTGAATACAGTGCTTTTAAGTCTTGGTGTCGGGATTAACAGAGTTGGCTGTGGTCACACAGCTAATCCGTACCAGGTAAACTAATGTAGCACTCATAGCATGACAGTGATGGCTGGATCATGGCAATGGAAAGTTAAAGTCAGCTTTTCATATACTGGGGACCATTTCACCTTGACATTTATAATCCCAACATCCCCATGGAAATTCTCCCTCTATGTGATAGCTACAGCACCACTACCATCAGGAAGGGCAGTAGGTTGGAAATACCCCCCATTAGATGTCTGTTAGAACCAAAGTTGACCATTAGAAACAAATTTCAGAAAAATAACTGCTATCCTTCACTATTTATTTTCACTCAACCTTTGCATTTATGAAACACGATGCCTGTAATTCTGTTTTGCCCTTACAATGTTACACTGAGATGATCTGTACACTTGTCCACCTTTCTCCTGGTTGTAAACCCCTGGAGGTTAGGGCATGACTGGCGTAGAACAATATCAGCAATGTTTTCCAAGGAAAAGCGTCTTCAAATGAATCTGCCTTTTCCTGAGATGTACAAGCTCCCTTTTCTAGCAAAAGTGTTAGGCCAGTCCCCTTGCTGACATTTGTCAGCAATTCCAGTTTGGGTGACGATCTGGGCTGAATAAACCCAGCTCTGTGGATGTGATGGATGGGTCAGCCTGCTTGTCCCAGCCAAGAGTCACAAGGCAACATTCACTTCCCCCCCAAGGTGACAGAGGACGTTGTTAGTGTTGTTTTTGTTTGTTTCTTACAATTTAGAGCCAGGATTTTCAATGTGTCAAATGCCGAGTCTCAGCATGGTTCTCTTGGCAGGTTTCTATGTGTTAACAGACTCTTGGCCAATAAGAAGTGTATTTAGTTTGCCTCAATATCCCCATATAAACAATAAAACAAACAAGCAAATAAAACCTAATCTGGATTAAAATATGTCACTTTTAGGGGTTGGGTTTTTTGTTTTTTTGGGTTTTTTACTCTTTTTCTTTCAATAACTGGGCTCTCTTTCTTACAAACCCAGGAAGATAGGAGAATGGTTTTGTTGCTGTAAGATGGTTGGATGGTTTTTCCTTTGATTAATCCATTTATTATCTTTCTTTTCTCCAGTAAGATTAGTTTTTTCCTTCTTAGTCAAACGCATATAGTGAGAGCTTGCAATGTTTGCTGGGCAGATGAATAAATGAAGTGAATTAAGATGCGAGCTTTTTCACTGGCAGCCCAACATTTCTCTTTCTTAGTAGTAGAAGGGAGATGATAGGGGGCAGGGGTGTCTGTTAGTCCTCCCCAAGGACTAATAATGCATATTAGCTTATACTTCCCTTTACATAGTACAATTCACACAACACCATGAAAAACAGAAAGGCAAATAATTCTAACAGGTTTATCAAGAACACAGAGACTCAAATTCCACCTGCCACACCTTACAAAAAAGAGATCAAGTCCCAGACTCTCTAGCTATTTCTATTTCATTATATCACAGTAAAGTCATTCTTTTCATGTCTGTTGCCTTCAGATGTGTTTTTAAGTGTATGTAGAGGTAGGCATAGAAATATGGCAGATGTTGCTATGTAAATTGGAATAGAATCGTGATCCATAGGTATTGTCCTAAGCAATCCTACAAAGTGAAACTGTGATTTACTCCTAAGCAATAGAATTCACTTTTTTTTTTTTTTTTTTAGAATTTAGACCTAAGGCTCTCACTTTCTCCTCTCCCTCTGCATTTCTGACTTTCACGTTGGGTCCTACATTAGAACATAGCACCTCCTAAGTAAGGCTCCTGTTCAGAACACCCTCTCTGGAAATAGCAAGTTTTCTCTAGAGCTCTGGAACTTTTCTGGAATCATTCCGAGTTGGAAGCTATGGCGGTTGCTGGGGACTTCCCCCACCCACAGCATCTGACCCACATTTCCAGGTTCTTATCAGCTTGTGTCTGTAGAGAAAAGGGCACTTAGATAAGTGGAACAGCAGGCAGTGCTTTGTGGGTAATAAGCCAGAGTGATCTCTATGCTGACATAGGTAAACAGAGTTGCTGAGGATCTTTTGATCCCAGGCTCACATCTCAAGGCTGCATTTTAACATGGAATGACCAGCAGGTTTCCTTCCCTTCTTTTCCACCTCCCCCTACCATCACCAGCAGCCTGCTGACTCCCTGCTTGCCCTATCGCCCTCTTCAGGAATACACTGGCAACTCAACATCTTCAGTTCCGTTTGGCTTTTGTGATTCCTTATTCACCATGAGGAGCAAGCTTTCACCATTTACTCCAACCAGTGCTCATTATGCTAAACCTTCATCCTTCTGGGAGCCATATGACCTTAAGAAACCACTTATACTGTACATACAGGATTGCCTGTAACTCAGCTTATTCAGTTAAATGCGTTATTTTAACAAAGGACTAAAAAGCACTTAGATGTGACCTCTGCCTGGAAATAACCTATATTCTAGTTGTTTATTCTATAAATGCAGCACTTCAGACAAATGAACCCTTCAGCATTATGTATGTACCATAGAAAGCTCATTTCAAGCCCACTGGTGAGACCAGATTGGACAGCATTAAACAGGACATAATGTAGAATTTATAAGCTGCTGGGAAAACAAAATAAAGGCATTTGCTTTCCTCAGTCCTTTTCACAATGACTTTCATAATTTTTGCTAATCCAATTTTTAAAATCCGTTACAAAGTCGCTCTTAAACCATTTCCAGAGACTCTCTGGTTTGCCATTCTGGAAATGAAATTGCTTTATAAACCTGAACAGATGGCTTTAATTTTGGTGGAGTGGTATGAAAGGAATGTCACATTAGAAACTGCAAGCAATTCAGTTCGAAGTTTTTGTCGTTCATACATGTGTTTCAAAATACTATATTTTACATTTTCTCTTTCAAGTAAATTCCCATCCCCATGCCATTAAGAGACTTCAGAAGTAAAATTTTAAAGTGCAAATCAATCCCAGCATTTCTAAAAATGTGATGTCCCAGCTTAAATGAAGTGCTCACTTATTGCAAAGCCAATAGACTAATTCCACAAAGTCAAAAGTGTCTTCTAAGAGTCCAAAGATAAGAGTATTTCCAACTTTGTTAAGCTGTTCAGACATAACTGGCGTTCCCTCTACTCCAAAGGACCTTTTCATCCAGTTACATCAGAGTAACTTGAGCAGCTGCTGCCAAAGGAGCCTCTCCTGACCCTTCACCTACTTATTTCAGTCACTAAAATAGGGTTGAAATCTGTCAAGGACCCTGAAGGGAGGGGGAAGATTTGTTCTGTTCCATTTAATTCAACATTTACTGAGTGCCTGCTGTGTGCAAGACTCTAAGCTAGAAACTCTGAGGAATGTTAACATTATTAGGTCCTGTTCTTTGTCTTTTGTGTATTTATAATCTATAATTGGGGGGGGGGGGGGTGTTCCTAAACGGGTAAGAAGAGAAAGGAGTAAACACAGTATCATTTAAAAAAAATCAGGTGGGAAAAAAAAACATGTTAAGTACAAAGCAAAATTAAGAAAAACCCAGGTTTGTAAAGATTCCATTTGCAATCCCATGCAAAGCAATTCAGTGCTCACCCTTAATGCTTGCTCCAGTCTGACAAGACATAATTAGAAATCAACAAGGGTTTTACTGTCTCTGATTTATATCTCTTATCTGTTATTTTATCTCTTTCTGAGAGATTTTAAGAAAAAATTATTATACTATACTTATACTGTATGTACATATGAAAAATATGAATTTACTTATTACCACTGAACTGTACACTTAAAAATGGTTAAGATGGTGAATTTTGTGTTATGTGTATTTTATCACAGTAAGGAAATTCTAAAAAAAAAAAATCAGCATCAAGGTATTTTCTGGGAGAAAAAGGAGAAACAAAGAAAATGCTCCAGAGCAACGAGAATATCTATACATATCAAAGCCGAAGTGACGGTTACAACTGGTGACTGAATGACCAGTCGCTATGACACTACCAGGGGGCAGATGTCCAATCAGGAGCTGCCCCCTGGTGGTCAGCACGCTCCCACAGCCAACCTCCCCTGGCCAGTCAACCTCCTGCAGTCCCTCCACCTGGACTGGGCAAGACGGCCTCGATCGCCAGCCAGGCTGAGGGACCCCACCCGTGCACGAATTTGTGCATCGGGCCTCTAGTTTTAAATAATAAAGTAAAAAACAAAGCAGTGACCTTGCCTTTGAACTTTCTTGTTGCAGATTCGTACGTCAGTGACAACACTGTTATTTCCCAAAAGGCCCTTCAGCTGGATAAGACATATCCTGATTGCAGCCATGCTTATTGCACTTAACAATATTTTGGTCATCCTTGTGCCAACTATAAAATACATCTTTGGATTCATAGGTAAGTTTCAGAAAGGCTTTTTTTTTTCCCATCTACTTTTTTAAAAAAAATTTATTGTTCAATTACAGTTTACATTCACTATTAATTCATATTAGTTTCAGGTGTACCGTATACTGGTTAGACAACCATATACTTTATGAAGTGTTCCCCCGGAAATTTCCAGCACCCGTCTGAAATCATACCTAGTTATCACAATATTTTTTACTTTATTCCCTAGGCTGTACCTTACATCCCTGTGACTATTTTGTAACTACCGACTTGTACTTCTTAATCCCTCCACCTTTTCATGGAGTCAACTCAAGCTGATAGCCCCTTAAATGGCAGACAGGGAGCCTCTGCTGGGAGGCCGAGAATCCCCATCTGTCTGAGGCTCCCAGGCTTCCTAATAGTCCCATGGGGCACCAGCTATCACCCTCCCTCTCTCCCAGATGACACTGGAAGTTACTCACACAATCCGAAAATGTTAGTGCCAAAAGCTACCTTACAGGTCATCTAGTCCCGCTGCCTTTTCTGACAGACGAGGAAACTGAGCCCCACAGAAGTCAAGTCCTATACCTTGGAGTGGACCCTGGGTTTGCACTTAGGTCTTAACTCTGCAGCAAAAAATAAGGGAGACAGATTTTACCCTCGGGATGCTCTCTCAGGTCTGTGATTAGCTGAGAATTAAGGATATCTTTGGAGGAGGAGGAGATTGATTTTGTAAAGCATATTATTTCCCTTTACTGTGTGGCCTGATAATATATTTAATATTTTTATTCTGCTGATTTGGGGGTTTACTACAACTTTAAATACAATACTGTATAAAACTTCTAAAACTTAGGTAAAAGCAACTTGAAAAGTTAGAAGTAAATAGGAAGGGTGTGTGATGAGTTCAGCCTCCTTAGTAGATGCTTATTGTATTACTAGAGGCCCAGTGCACAAATTCGTGCACTGGTGGGGTCCAGTTGGCCCGCCCCAATGGGGGCTGATTGGGGGCGGGGCCAGCCAGGGTGAGGGGCCTCAGTTGTTCCTGTCCTTCTGGTCATTCTGCCATTCAGTCCCTGGGCTTTTATTATATAGGATTAATTTCCTGTAAATTTGTGACATTTGGTCGTTTTATTATTGATTATAGGTTATGTGTACTTAGTATGCAGCTATGATGTTAGGTATAGTTTAATTTTCCTTATAAACATATCTTCTTTGAATAAGCAACACAGAGGATCTTATAGTGGATTTAGTGCTAAGATTAGGGCAGCTTTAGATCTGGTGTCTTTGCTTTGCTGAGTCAGACCTGCTATGTAAGACGTTGACCTGTCTGGTGTCTCTCTCCTCAGGGGCTTCTTCTGCCACTATGCTGATCTTCATTCTCCCAGCAGCTTTTTATCTTAAACTTGTCAAGAAAGAACCTCTTCGATCACCCCAAAAGGTTGGGGTAAGTAAGACTTGCAATTTTCCCCATTATAAGCTGTTCTTTGACTACTCAGAATAAACCAGAAAATACACATGGTTCAAAAAAAAATATGAATTGCTGAACAGGAATGAACAATCAAAGATGAATTGGAATTCTCTGGTGGAGAGAAAGAAGGCTGGAGTTCTGGCTCAGATGATTCCGGGATTTCTTCTCTTCAAATACCTAATATCTTGGGCTGAGTTCTTCCTACCTGTCAGAGGCTAATGGAGATCTCCCACAGACACACATGCATCTTATCTCCGCCACTCAGTGTTTGTGACACTATTTTATGGGAAATTACGCAGGAAGGACAGTGTTCATAAACACTTTGGCCATATTCGTTAGGTATAAGGCCCAAAGAAAAGATATTGCTTTTATTTTCCCCTCCATAGGAGCTTGCTGTCTTCTGGTGTGGACTGACATCCAGAGCAGAAGCACTCCTTTCCCAGTTAACCTCTTTAGATATGAAGTATAGTTTTATGAAATGAGAGAGTATGTACTTCTCTTCTGTAATATAACTACAGAAAAATACACTAGAAATAATTGTTTTTCCAATAATTACGTATTATCCATGACTGCTTAATAAAGTCTTATATTAAGACTTGAAAAGAAGCCTCTTACTGAATTACACTGAATTTTGCCTGGGAGTCATTCACCTCTTGGGGTTTTTCGGGACAATTTGGTATCAAAAGCTCCTCCAATCATCTCACCCGCAAGTTTCTACTCTGTGTAGTCTTCCTTGGGCTTTATAGCAGTGTGACCTTAGCAAGTTACTTGATCTTTTTGTGACCCATTTTCAGTTTATCAGATGTAAAAATGAGTAAAATTATATTCTAGATTCTTTCAAGTTAAAAAGAAATTAGCAGCTGCTTCCTAGTATCTAGAATTGGGAGATTGACCTGTGTGGTACTAAATAAGGCTGTTTCTGGTGTTATTTTTGTTTGCTTATAAATTTTCATCACACCTACTACTCTCTTATGACCTGCTTTTTTTCACCTAAAAGACTGTGAGCTCTCCCCTGGTCATTAAATTGTCTTCTGTTGCTTGGCTTTTTAATGATTCCAGGGTATTCCATCATTTTGATGTACCAAATCAATGAACCATTACCGTATTTTGAACATTTGGGTTACAATCTCTCTAATGTATTCACCCTCTTTCCTGAACTAGGCTTCTAAATTGACTGAATTGCTAGGCATGGATAGCTGAGCTATAAGAATAATACAATTCAATAGGCAAATCAGATTGCTGACTTAGGTAAACAATTTACTGTTTACTGACTTAGCACAAGCTTTGCTAAGTAAGGATGGTTTCTGTGTTCCTCACAAGTTCTCTCTGACTTACAGGCTTTAATTTTCCTCGTGGTTGGCATCATCTTCATGAGTGGAAGCATGGCGCTCATTATCACGGACTGGATTTACAATCCCCCGAATTCCAAGCATCACTAACCCAAAGAAAAATACTTTCTTTTTCTACTGGAAGTGGTTACAAATTAAGCTCCAAAGGACATGTGAGCTATTTTACCCCGATGATTGGAATGTTATTCATAGGAAGTAACAAGAAGATTCCAAAGATATTCACCAGTAACATCACCAGGCACCTTCAGAAGAGAAAATCGTCATTTTTGTCAAGAGTGGCTGTTTATGTGTTTAAAATCCGTGGTGCACATTTCTACGCAGGTTTTGCCAGAGGGGTATAAGATGATGTATTTTTGCTGTTGTACAAACAGAATAAGGGTAGCTGAGTGTAATGGTCATCAGATAGCCCCCTCCCCCTTTCCATAGTACCAAATGCTTGTATTCTCAGAATATCAAATGAAATGCCCTGGTGGCAAAGCTATCACCACTTAATGCCTTCCCCTAATCTTGCACTAAACACTTTGGATCTATTTAATAACAGAGGCAAAAGGCACGTCTTACAAACTTGTCCCTGTAAGATATATGAATGATCAGACACCAGGCTAGAATATCTTATTGTCAACAGTAAAAGAATATTTTGCCCATCCTATTTGTGACATTGAATTAATGACTTCTTCATTTAGACTTTTTTTAAACATTATGAGAGGGGTCTTATTTAAATTATAGAGCAACAACAAAAATAATGCTTATAGCTAAACTGCCTGTTCTGGAAGCATTTGCTTTTTCATATTAGTCTTAGTCCTCTTATCATACTTTTATTATTGAACAATGCTCTCCCTCTCGTCTTCCATTCTCATTCAGAATTTTTAGAAGACCACAATTCATGTGGAGGTACACTACCCAGTATTGTTTGATACATTTTTATTTGATAAACATTCAGTGCAGGAAACTGTGATTGCTATATGTTTGTGTATATAATCTTATTCTGTAGTCACCAGAATTTTAATGTATGGTACATCTGATTTTTATTTTTTACGTGTGTAGTTTGTCTCTCATTACAGTCAAAACATTTATATTATTTGGGGTGAGGGCAGGGAATTAAGTTGATGGGCTCAAAAATCCATTTGTATGTATCTGTCTATTGGGGATATTTTAAATTTGAAACCTAAGTTATACATAGCTCAGTAATGTTCTTTTTCAATGTTTACAGTAATATCATAATCACCTACAAGAAAATAAGTTCTTATTTGCAAATAATTATTAATAATACTGTTCATTTAATTTAGCATAACTACAATAGCATTTAGTTCATTATATCTTAGACAGGTGTTTGCTGACATTTATTTGCCATTTACTACAATGTTGAGTGGTTCTCCATAAAAATAAATGCTAACACTACAAGGAGAAGCAAACTATTATTTTTGCTCACTTCTACAGCATACATGAAATGGATTTAAAAAATAGTACTTACCGCCTGGAATTTCTGGAGTTTGCTACTTTTTTTTCAAATCAGTAGCAAGAACATTTGTTCTATATTTTATATTTTAGTAAAGCCAAGTATGAAATACAAGTATCATATAAGTATGATAATATTAAATCATATTCTAATAGTTTTTCTGGAATGTGCTATAAGAAAATATATTTGTTTTATGTATTATTTTCTAGAGGCACAATACTGTAAAATGGTGCACTTTTTTATGGAAATTGAACATTACTAGAAACTATCATAACTTTTAAGTTACTATTATTGGAAAAAATTTTCCAAACAGCATCTTTAAGATGTATTTTCATTCATCTAAAGAGATAGCAGGTGGAAAAGTTGCTTTCTGAGTGTTAAAAAAAAGTTTAATCTGAATGTTTTTAAATGTAAATATCAATAATTAACAAAAAAGTGGAAAACTGTAAAATCTGTATATATTTTGAATGTTTTACATTTGAAATGACTAACTTAAAAATGTCAACATATGTAATTATATAAATACTCAAGAGCAATACTACAATGCCCCATAATGAAGCACCATTTCTTTCTCATGGCCATTTCGGGATGAATTCAGACTGCAGGGCAGACATACATATGGTTAATTTAACCCCATTTGTAAACAGATAAAAATTTTATTTTCTTATTTCATTTATAAGATGGTTCAATGTATTGGGAGGCTTTTTTATTACAGAAAGTGTATATTGGTATATAATAAATGAACTTTTCAAAATGACTATGATGTGATCTTTTTCCATTGCTAAAGACTCTGAATTATACAAGAAAAGAATTTTAAATCTAAATATTGTCTTTCTTTGTTCTATTATCATTGTTACTATTGACATAGAACTAACATCTGTAGCTGTCAAAAATAGTTGCCATCTTATTTAGGCAAAATACACAACTAATCCTAAATCATCTTTATTTTATATCATCACATATATACCTCTTAGAATAAATGTGAAAGAAATTAATCCCTTTATGGTTAATTAGGGAGAATTCATTTGAGATGGGAAAAAAAGAGGGACTAGAAGAAACATGAGAATAGTAAGATAAAGACATGGAAGATTTCGGAGAGAGGAAAGCAACATGCGCGTGTTGAGGATTGGGCAGAAATGGACTCTTAGTGGGAATGACGAGTCATATGGTAAAGTGTTGGCTTAATTTTCTAAGAAACTTCCAAATAGTTCTTCAAAGTGGTTCTACCATTTCATTTTCACCAGTAAAGTATACAAGCTCCAGTTGTGCCACATCCCTGACATTCGCTGTTGTGTTTTATACTTGACAGCCTTTCTAGTAAGTGTGAAATATAGGGTGTCCCCAAAACATTTTTGGTATTTTAACAGCTGATAGTTGAATTGATGTTTCTTTATTTTCAGCCAGATTAAGCTTTGAACAAAGGAAATTCATCCTAAAATGCTACTGGAAGTTTGAAAGCACAGTTGAAGTACAAATACTGCCTTTATAATTATAACAAATGCTGATAACTCACTCAATTTTCACTCCTCTTCAGGTTTAACTGGTTGAAATAATGGGGGAAGCTAGACTAAGCTTTGAACAAAGAAAATTTATCCACTAGACTTTTTTATGGGGATACATAAAAGATAAAGTTTATGGTATAAAACTGGCAACAGTTGATTAATTGAGGGTCACAAATACCAAAGGAAAAGATTCTTGATGTTTGCAATTCCATTGCTTCACGTTATTTGCAGTGCTTGGACCAGAGTGGTCATCAGTTTGAAAGCAGACATTAACAAAAAAAAATATTTATATTCATTACTGTAGATTCTTTTAAATTTTGAAAATGAACTATATGTTAATAAACACTGACTTTATAGTCATTCAAAGTATGTATACTTTTTTGGGGGGACACCTATAGTATCTTGTGATTTTCATTTGCATTTCCCTGATGACTAGTGTTGGCAACTTCCATGTGCTTCATGCCCACTCATGCTTCCTTTTCTAAAGTGCCTTTTCCAATATTTTGTTTATTTTTAAAATTAGGTGGCTTGTCTTTTGATTGTTGATTTGCCAACGGTCTTTTTATATTCTGGATATGTGTCCTTTCTCAGACTGCACATATATTTCCTCAGTATATAGCATGCTACTCATTTTCCTGATGTGTCTTAATTACATCTTTCTGGAGCTAGGTGTTTACTGCTTAGAGCTCTACAATTCCTGCCTAACCAGGATACGATTAATTGGAATGGTATTGTTGTAATTAATGTTGAAATTTTCAAATTTGGAGTGTAAGAGTCTTCTTTTTTCTGTTGGTTTTTCTTTTTTTATGCTTTATTAATGTATGGTAATATAACTCTTGTCTTATGCAGATATTTCATTAAAAGTAACTTTTTCTAAATCACTTTGAATCTTAGTTGAGATCCAGTACTACATAGACAGGCCCAGGATAGCAAAAAACCTTACTGGCTGCTTGTAATCAACTTTATTAGCTTTCTCAGCCTTTGTTGCAGATACATATAAATGAAAGAGGAGAAACTGTTCCGTTTGATTTTTATTTACCAGATTGGAAGTTCTGCCATTTTCTCTTGACTCAGCATTCTGCCTCCTGTGCAGAAGCCGTATGTACAGCCGTGGCCTCTTCAGGATGCACCTTCCTGACTGTCTTTTCCCAATAAAAATTTTGCACTAACTATTTAATGGACAATATTGAAGAAACTGATTGAAAAAGGAAATAAGTTTAGAAATAAGCTGTTGGGGCCTGGAATTATAAATATATATTATATTTTAATTGTCTGAGATTATTTTGACGTATTTCTTTCATATGGAAGGAGTTGCCATTTTCTCTTGCATCACACACCAAAATGAAAAAATTCAATATGAAAGCCAAAACATAACCAGTAGACAGTTTAGAAAGAACTATTTGATAGGTACCTATGAAAGTAAAACACTATGGAAGAAGTCACAGAAGTAATTATGAATACACTTGTCAAAATTAATAGGATGCACTTTATGCAGTGTTGAGAAGGAAATTAAAGCACTAAATGCTAACATTACAAAGAGGATAGCTCTCAGGTCCATATTTTAAATTCTTACATTAAGAAACCAGAAAAAGAAGAACAAGATAAACCCAGAGCAAGCAGAAGAAAAAAATTAATAAAGATAAGAGCATATATCAAGGAAACAGAAAATAGGAAAACAACTGAGAAAATCAATGAAGCAAAAGTTTTCTTTGTAAAACTTAATAAAATTGATAAACCTCTACCAAGACTGACAAAAATAAAAAAAAATAGCATTTTATATCATTTTAATTGGCAGCAGTTTTTCTCTTCTAGTGGCTTATAAAATAATGGTTCATCTTAAAATAAAAATTCTTAAAGTCAATTAAAAAACGTATTAGCTTTCTGTGTTCAAAAGAATATGGGGCTCATTTTTTCTAGAGTTTCTGAGCACAGAAATACAAAATGGTATGGTAACCATCACCATAGGCCACTCTAATTCTAGAGTGTGTGTGTGTGTGTGTGTGTGTGTGTGTGTGTGTGTGTGTGTGTTGGAGGTGGGATTGAGGAGGCCAGGCCAGACCAAAGGAGGGTTACAGAAGGTAACCAAATAAAACACGAACTCACTGCAATTGGAATTATTTTCCAAATCAATCTGATTTCAGTTTAATTGATTAGCTTAGTAGAAATAAATGATTATATCCATTAGGAAGAAATTATTATATCCATTTTATAAGAGGGAAATAAAGGCCCCAAAATAAATGGTCACCACACTGCAATTGACCTCCTGGTCTCCTAAGTTCGAGCCTGGCCAGGGCAGCGGGTAGTTCTAGCCATAGGCTCCTCAGAAGCAATCGTTACTCTTAGTTTTGTTACTGGATGGGGACGGGACCCAGAGCAGGAATGCCTCGGGCCGGCCAGCAATGTGTGGATTCTTGACTTTATGCAGGAAAGATTTCATAAGATGAGTCCATGTGATTTTGAGAGGATGTTTATTAAAGCTGAGGACAGTAAAACAAAGAAAAGGCTTAAGACAAAAGAAGCAATAGGGGAGACCCTAGGCAGGGCTGCTTTGGCTCACTGAGAAGTAAAAGTCAGTGAAAAAAGTGAGCCAAGGCAGGGCTGCTGTCACCTCACCGGAAAGTCAGAGAAAAAGGGGGCCTTGAAGACAGGTTCAGGGGGTGAGCCTGGATGAGCTGCTCCCCTGGTTGCAAGTCTCATGGGGCCCCTTAGAGTTCAGGAGAAAGAGCAGAGATACAAGGTGGATGTATCACTAGTGAGAGCTACACCGTGATTCTTGGTCTTGAGGCCTGTGGGAATCCTAGGGGAGGTGGCAGGGAGGTTTTAGCAGAATATTCATTCGCTTTTCAGGTGTGTTCTTTCATATGTTGATTCATTATAATGTGTGCATAGAGGGATCAGGGTTATTTTATGATTAGTTTTTAAAGAAGGATACTGAAGAGGGACCTGACCAAGGCTGGTCTGCCCTGAGAGAGTCTGGAATATGTAAACCATTTGCTCCTTATGTCCTTGGAAGATAAAACCCTGTGATTCATCAGCAGGCTGTAAATTGCTCAAATTGTTTGGCTTTGTTTAATTATTTTGTCTCAGTTTCTCTTATTCCAATGTCAAGAAATTTTCCTAGCTTCTTACTATCCTGCCTCAGTTTGACGTTAAGTTTGTGTCACTAAGTTGGAGTTTTTCCACCAGCCCTGGAGGGATAAGAACAGAAACCCAATTCTTTCTTGTCAAGCTTCCCTGGCACAGGGTCATGGAGCATTTTATCAGTATTATCTGTGAATAAGTCACATGAGAATGATTACTTTATAGTCAGGTTCTGGTATTATCATCTCAAGAGGAAAACATGACTGTTCTCCTTAAAGTGATGGGCATATTTCTTCCATTATTGTCAGCTTTGTAATTTAACATTTTGGAAACTCACCAAGTTTTACTTGGTGAGTAAGAGGTTGTCTAAACCTGGTCTGCAGCCCAAACCTCTGTTCCCAGATGTATAATCAGCATTTCTTTCAGCCTGTGCGAACTTGGCAATTTAAAGAAGGCCCAAAATAGTTGCCATTTTGCATTATCTTTTTTTCTAAAGGTACAAATCTTGGTCAGCCACTGATAGGTTGTTGAAAGGGTATAGTTGCTAAGATGACTAGTCCTCACCTTGCCTTGCAGGAAAGAAAGGATAAGACAGTCTATGTCATCAAATGATTGTATATCTATGAAGGATGCTTATCACATGGATCATTTTCTATTTAATAATGCTATTAAATAAAGTACTGTTTAGTAGAGTGTTAGAAAGAATTTGGGCTATTTATTTAGCATGATCTAATCAAATTACATTATTTTACTTCCAACCCCAACTCTCATGGGAGAGTTGCAAGTTTGAGAACTATTTATCTACCTACCTACCTACCTACCTACTTACCTACCTACCTACCTATCTATCTCTATCACTCTCTCTCCTCCCTGCCAGGTGACCTGGGAGAGGCCCTCCCTGCATCAAAGCCCTTCCCACAGGAAACACAAATGAACTGAGCTGGATCCTCCCTAGGAACCTTCTGAGTCTACAGAGGAGCCTTCAGCTGGAGGAAAACTTACCAAGTGACAGTTGTAAAATTGCTGGGTTCTTGTGATATCAAAATCTCCCTAAAAGACAGGTGTCCCCACAATTTGGGCAGAATCTTGTATTAAAGTCAAGGGCCAGGATATAGCTTCCTGGTTTATACAATTCTTCAAATCCCAGTCCCATGTTTCTTTCATCAGCAACACAC